ATAAAGTTGGCTCTGGGACAAGCCCCAGCCCTGGGTTTGCCTGACATAGAAAGGCCCTTTAACGGCTTCGTACGTGAAAAGGACAAAATAGCCCTTGGAGTGCTCACTTAGAGCATGGGGCCTTTGCAATGGCCAGTGGCCTACCTGTCAAAAAAACTTGATCCTGTGGCTGCAGGATGGCCATGGTGCCTCAGAGCTCTGGCAGCCACAGTCCTGCTCATCAAGGAGGCAGACAAACTCACACTGGGACAAACACTTAATGTTAAGGTCCCACACGCGGTCATGTCCCTCATGAGCACCCAAGGATATTGTTTCCTCTCCAATTCTCGGCTGACACAATACCAAGGCCTTCTCTATGAAAACCCAAGTGTCATTCTCAAAACAGTAAGAACACTAAACCTGGCCACCTTCCTTCCCATGGAGGAGGGAGAACCCGACCATGACTGTTCCGAAGTAGTGGATGAAGTCTACACCAGCTGCCTGGACCTCCAAGACCAAGCTATGACAGGCCCAGAAATCACCCTGTTCAGCCATGGAAACAGCATTTACAAGAGAGAAACCGAAGAGCAGGATATGTGGTAACCACAACCACCGAAGTTCTGGAAGCCAAGGCCTTGCTGGAAGGATGGTCAGCACAACGAGCTGAACTGTATGCCTTAACCCGAGCCCTCATCCTTAGCAAAGGTAAACGAGTTAACATCTACACTGATTCCCGGTATGCCTTCACTACTGTGCATGTACACGGGGCCATCTATAAAGAAAGAGGCCTCCTTACTGCTGCAAAGAAAACTATCAAAAACAAGGAAGAAATACTAAAGCTTCTTGAGGCTGTATGGCTGCCAGACAAGGTAGCTATCCTACACTGTAAGGGACATCAGAAAGGAGACAACCCCATAACCAAGGAAATCACCTGGCCGACAAAACAGCCAGAGCGGCCGCCTGTGGTGACCCAGGTGAAGCTTCTACCTACACTATGACTCTTGTGCCCCACAGGGAAGCCTCCCCGCCCCTGTACACAAACAATGAAAGAAGTTGGGCCTCGACAGAAGGGGGCACACTAAGCAAAGAGGGATGGTGGGTCATGCCAAATGGACACATCTTTGTCCTGTCATCTATGGGAAAACACCTAGTCAAGGAATATCACCAACTCACACACCTAGGGAAAACTGCACTAGAGGCCTTCCTCAAAAAGAACTACTATATCAGCCAACTTCTGGTATTATGCCAGGTGTCAGTGAATAATGTGTAACGTGTGCCAAAAACAATGCTTGGTCTGCCCCATGGCCCCTGCCTGGCACGCAAAGGATGGGGGTCACCCCTTTCAAAGACTTAGAGGTGGACTTTACTGACATACAGCCAAATAAAGGGTTCAGGTACCTCCTTGTAATAATCTGCACATATTCAGGACGGGTCGACGCATTCCTGACCAGAATGGAACGAAGCCGCGAGGTGGCCAAAGCTCTTCTATGGGAGATCGCGCCTCGATTTGGTCTACCCTTAACCATACACAGTGATAACAGGCCTGCATTTGTGGCATACGTTATACAAACCCTAACAAAGTCCCTCATCATTACCTGGAAACTGCACACTGCTTACCGACCCCAGAGCTCAGGGAAAGTAGAGCGGATGAATCGCACCCTCAAGGAAACCCTGGCTAAGTTCCACCAAGAGACTAATCTCCCATGGCCAGATTTACTGCCGCTGGCCCTCCTGTGTGCCTGATGCACACCTGGGGCACTAAGATTCTCCTCTTTTGAGTTATTTTATGAGCGACCCCCTCCCCATGTTTAGGAAAACTCCCAGAATACCTACACCAGATTGGAGACAAAGGAATAAGAGAATAGCTCCAGACCTTGGGGGCAGTCCTAAATAAGTTACAGAGATACACCATAGAGAGGGCCCCAATTTCCTTAGGGACCCCCGTTCACCTCTTTCAACCAGGAGACTCTGTGTGCACAGATTGGAAGAGGGAACCTCTTAGACCACGGTGGACTGGGCTCATACTATCATTCTAACAACTCCTACAGCCCTTAAAGTTTCAGGTATCGCCCCATGGGTCCATCACTCCAGAGTTAAGAAGGCCAACTCAGAAGAACCCACAACCTGGTGAAGTGATTCAGATCCAGTCAACCCACTTAAACTGACCCTCAAAAGGGAAATTGGCCCCTGAGACCTCCAGCCCTGCTCCAGCCACACCCGGAAGATGGCTGGCCTGTGCATGGCAGAAGCTTGAGGAATCAACATGTGAACTTAGCTGGGGGGTTTGGATGCAACTCTGCTAGCCCTTGCCCCTTACTGGTGTCATAGCCC